AGTGATTGATGTGGGAATTTGCAATCTTAGAGTACTTTCGCTTTTCAGAAAGGAAGGAGGGGAGGATGCAAAGGAGGCTTTGATTTTTAATCTTGATTTCATAAAATTTTGATGTTAATAATTGTGCTTCCTTTACCACATTGGAATCACGAAATTTCTGCTCATCGAGCTTGTTTTCCTCAACCATTTCACGATAAGTAAGCAGTCATTAAAAGTTTATATTTAATTCGATATCTTGTTAGGACTATGCAGGATTACAAACGCAATCTAAGGGCCAGGTTGAAAAAGATGGGTTATTGAAAATTCGAGATACATTCAAATGAAGCAGTAAGAAAAGCTGTTGCATATTAATTATCGAAGTCCTGATCATGAAATCATTACACTGCAGAAAAATACACATCACAACGATGCTTTATCTCTACATCCCTATATCACTACTTTTCCGAATCATCGACGATGCTGTGAAATTTGAGCTAACCAAAAGCCCCAAAAAATTTAGTTTCTGGAACTGGTGATGCATCACTTAATTATACCGTGACAAGGATTCCCCCGCAAATATCAAACATTTATAATTTCAGGTGATTATAGCGACTATATTCTCGGTTATAGTTGATCTCAAAAAAAATTATGATGTTAAAATTGTCGATTACATCCCGCAAGGGTAATTTTTTTCTCTGAAAAACGTTTTTTTCCTAGAATTTAGTCCAAGATTTTCCGGGATGCTCGTGCAAAAAAATATCATATTGTTTACTGATTTACAGGATGCCTATGCCGTCGTTGCCGCATTTTGATTTGATACCATATCTGCTGAATGATGCATTCGCAATCGCTATCGTATCATATATGTTCGTCATATCAATGGCTAAATTATTCGCCAAAAAAAGACGCTACAAAATTGATCCCACTCAGGTGCTGATTGCATGCATTCCAGTTTTACTCCTTTTATAAATGAGACAAGAGATTTCTTATTTTTAAAATCGATCCTCTTTTTACCTTTTAAAATTATAATCCATTTTTTTATAA